GACTAGCTCATTACCAGGCCTCTGGAGAACTTCAGGACATGTTGAGGAGGTAAATAAACTGGATTAAAATGAAGTCAGTGCACATGAAAGTCCCAGTGAGGGAATTGAAAAGCTTAGCAAAGGATGGCAAAGTTAAAGATGTGTTTATTGAATTCATTATAAACACTTTATCAATATTTTAACAACATAAACCGTTGTTCCACAAGAAACACATGCTTTATGTTTAGCAACAGCGTTTGATTTTCATACTGCACATTATAGCAAACATGTCCACTTTGGTCCTGTCCATACACAACCACAGGTTTGTGGCTTTGTAAAGCTCAACTGTGCTGCTCTGTTATTTTTGGCAAACTCCAGGAAGACAGTCGCACTATGTTAACGTAGATGTAAAAGCTCCAGACAAGAAAACAACCAAAACCACTGCTGGTGTGGAGCAGCAGGGCCGTACATACACTGCCCCGTGAACGCCGTGTTTCCATGACTGCAGGCATGTTATGTGGATCTGACAGTCGTTCAAGTGCACAACTTAGTAACGGGACACATTTGAAACAACTGGTTTTGACTGAAATCCCTCACATTAAAGTGCTACAACAAAGTTCAACATCTGCAGCAACAATAGCTGCTACATTGTGTCATTGCTGAGGTGGTAACAGTAACAGGGAGGAGGAGTCATGAGCTACAAGCCTGTTAGAAATCTTACCTTTGAGTCTTCTGAACTTCTTTTGTGAGGATTTCGTTGCTGTGAAGGACAACAGAAGAACAGGGTGACAGTCTTGGTAAACAGAAAAATGCAAACTGTATTCATTACTATTCATATCTCACATATGCAGGGTAAACTAGTTCAGCCATTGACTGTCCAGACTGACTGTAGCACTTCAGCCCACTGTGGGGCCAATCAGAGGCTCCAGACATGTCAAATAAAGTGAATCAATACTGAAGTGCAGTTTTAAAACCCTCAGATTTACTGAGGAACGTAAACTTATGTCATTGCTGTAAAGACTATACACATATACTGCATACATACTACATGCATGATATAAAGCGACAGCCCAGGATGGACCTGGTCTGTCACGCCCTCGTGCCTACCCCTCCAGCTTTCAGTAACTTCCTACGAAACTCCTCTGTTGGATTGTTGAAGGTGAGCTTCTCACAGCGGAGGTGATTGACGGGCGGGTGACCTTCCAGGTGGAGGAACAAGTCATAATCAAAGCGAACTTTCTTCGGTTCTTCCTACGGAGAAGTGGAAGGAAAACCACGAAAGGGACAAACAATAAAAACCCGTCATGCAGCACGTTACCCACATCATGCTCTGTTTTTGACTGCATCATTTAATTTGATTCAATTCAATTTTATTTACACAGCATCAAATCACAACAAAAGTCACCTGAAGGTGCTTTATATTGGACAGTAGATACAGAGGAAAAACCCAACAGTCATATGACCCCCTATGAGCAGCACTTTGGCGACAGTGGGAAGGAAAAACTCCCTTTTAACAGGAGGGGCGGGGCCATCTGCTGTGACCGGACTACATTATTCAGATCCCAAACACCCTCTGAAGCCTGAACCATGAAATAACAGACAGAA